ACAGAATATGGTCTACACAACGAAAGCAACGATGGTCAAACACCTCAAGCCAGCCTTCTCATATCTTCCACCTTCAATGGCCGTGTTTCACAATCATACAGTAGAACAGATCGCACTGCCGTGCAGTACACATCACCCTAATAGACAATCGGATATCATGGCGGCGTCACAGGTGGTGTGGGTTGGCAAAGGCCAACCGAACCTTTAGTATCCGTGCAGAGATTTCATCGACCACTAACCAACGCACCAGGGCTGATCCCGCTTCACTTCCCAGGTAAGTGAAGTGGTCGATACACTCAACCACTACACTCTCTACTGTTAGCCGCAGCGGGGCACTGTTGAAGACCAATCCTGAAGCAACAATTTGCATTTCCGTGGTGAGAAACGCATCTTAAACATTTCTACAAGAGGTCATTGGTAAAGTCTTTGATTATAACTCCAGGTGACACAGACTCAAATCTTAGGAGCGATATCAGATCCATGGAGGTTGAAAATACGCTTTATTGATGAGTGCAAACAAAGACGAAACCTAGGTCAAGCAGGGCCTCCTGCCAATTGCTAATACTTCGAAATTAGTGAAATAGAAATTCGCTTCGTTCCCATATCCTTATTTTATTACTTTCCTTGAAAGATGTCCGCCCCATAAGTGTTGATGTCTTCAATACAACTAGAATCTAGTATCCTATAGCTTGAAAGGTTTACAATGATAGATCAATTTGGCTCAGCAAGAAATAGATAATCAGAAGTTATAACAATATCAAGTAGATTGTGAACACAAAAAAAAAGGAAATATATCTGTTCTTGACTGTATCTAGACTTCAAATCATCCCATCCAATGTCAGTTAAGGCAGGATTAGTCAAATGTCTAAATGATAGAACTAGAAAACTGACTAGTCAGAGCAAGAACCTAAACAAGGAATTGAAACACGTGAAAGAAGCGCTACTAGTTAATAATTATCCTCCACAGTTTATCGACAAATTCTTACGGACACATAGAAAACGAAAAAAATAACAGTCACACGAGTGCGATTAATAACGACAACACCAGTAAAAAGGAGTTCACAGCCTCCATTGTATTACCCTATAAGGAGGGTACCTCAGAAACTTTAGGTAGAATCCTCAATACAGCTGGAATTAGTTATGGTGGCATTTAAACCTACAAACTTACTCAGAGATAAACTTTGTCAGCTTGAGGATCCGATAGAACCAATTAAGGAAAGTAATCTAATCTATCAAATTCCATGTAATGACTTTGAGGTCGAGTACATAGGTCAAATCAGGTAGTCGCAGTCAGTTACAATAGCGGAACATAGGAATTTAGCTAAATATAGAATGATAGACCTAAATAAGATCAATAATCTAGGGAAAAAAATCGGCTGTTGCTATGCATGCATTAACATACAACCATACGATAGGGTGAGAGAGAGAGAGAGAGACCCACTACACATCTATGTGTATCTACCAGTTCACCAGCTCCTGTGGAGCAAAGTACATCGACCATAGTCAGAGATTGCTGTCAACACGTATACGAGAATATATTCCGGCCTGGTTTTATAAGGTTCAAAGGAAATGCATCAGAAGTTCTATCCTTGAATATTTAATCGATTCCAACCATTCAGCCGATTCAAACAACGATTTAAAGGTTGTCTATCGAATTCGCCCTAACACCTAACGTTTCCTCTGTGTTCAGCTTCTAAAAACAGTAGAGACCTTGGCTATCTATGAACTGAAGCCTGACCTTTGTGTGCAAAAAAAGTACGTACAATCTTTGTCTCTACCTTGGACTTAATTAATTTTAGTCTTGGTGTGCTTCGTTTCCTTTTTTCATTCTTTACCCCCTTCCCCTTTTTTGTCACATTAATCTTTGTACTCTTATATCGTCATTATCACTCTGTTTTTTTGTATTTATTTGTTTCCGGAGTTATTTTATTTGATCTTCCTAATAATCACAACTTTTAGCAAAACATCTCCAATTTACTCCAATTAACCTGTCTCATTTATATTACCTAATCACCTTTGATTGTTTATTAACGTTCTCACCCCTTTCTAATCTATATGCACTTCATAAACGATTTGAAAATCTTACATAACCCCCTTTTGTTACCATTCTACCTTTACGTTATCAACTATCAACATTATAATTATCGTCACCATCATTATTATTGTTTCAACCCCCTTTATTTCATTTAAATCTTCCTCATGGATCAGTCTTTAAATATTATATATATATATATATATATATATATATATATATATATATATATGAATGTATAGCTTGAGAATAAATTCGTTGAAAAGAGTCCTCTTCCCTGAATATCTTGTTTTTCATACTGAAGCTTTGTTCATCGAATCAACACGCACTACGTGTAACAGAAATAATGTAACATCTATATACCAGAGATATGGAAAATTTGTTACCAATAAAAACAACTCATATAAGGTGACATAAGTATAAAAATCAAATGTCGAAAGTAGAGTGTGATTACGCATTGATATGATGATGACCAATAATAATTTATGCTCAGATCGTCATCAAGTAGATAATACTAGATCACTATGTGTTATAAATCAAATAAACAAATCTAATATGGAATTAAATTGTACCACAGTGCCCAAGTTTTAAGCCTGTATTAATCTGTTATATCATTGGTTAGCGGAAATTCTCTAAAACAGGTGATTTCTCCAATCACCCCCCCCCCTCTTCTTTTAACGCTAACCTTGTTCCAGTCTAGCATGAAGTTCATGCATTTCAATGCCCTAACATTAGATTTTTACGAATTAAAATGTGAATAATCTCATGTTGTACAACAAAATCATTGGTAATCCATATAACATATAAGGCAATTAATTATGATCAAATTATAGTTACCAAGAGAGTGATAAATTAACCATTCTTCTCTTCTTCTGTATCAAGAGATAAGGTTGATAGTGTTTTATAGCAATTGCTTTCATGAAATGCAATAATCCAGATATTTTCTGTACGTTAATTACTATTTTAAAAACAATCAACGTTTCAACTTGATTTCCTATGTTTATGAGATATTCAGCAATTTTATTGGTTAGAAATTCATATCCTTTTAAGCATAGACTCATGAGGATACGTTCAGTGAATCAAATAGATGCCATTCTCCTCTTAATTCTTTCAATGTACCTGCTACTACAAGTGCATGTGAATTCATAAATACAATTGGAGGTGATATGAGCAGGCTAATTATACAATTTTCACTGGTTCAGTAAATATTTGGTATTGTATATTGATGCAGGAGAGCTCCTTCTCTGTGTTTCTTTGATTCTTATGCTTACCTTCTTGGCTATTGCATCTCCCTTGAATGTAAGGTGTATAAAAACCTTCTTTTCCACAGTTGGGTGGTTATTTCTCTTCATAATAAATCTCTTAGGATATCCATTATCTCAGAGACACTCCTCAAAAATGCTTTGTTGAGTTCATCAAACAATATAATTGCATGTTTCATAACATTACAAATAAAAACGTACCCACCGTAATAGGTTATTCCTCTGATAATTGAACTCAGGCTTGAGATAATTCATTAAGGTATCTGTCAAGACAAGTCCTAGAGGCAAACCTACGGCCACTTCATCAATGTTTATAAGTCTGATTATTGACCTGGAAGTGGACAGCATATGTGTCATGTCTTGTATAGACAATTCACCCACAGAATTTGCACCTCCTAACCTTATACAGTACGATATAAGGTTTGATGTCAATTGACTATAAGGTTCACCTTAACAACCAGTAAAATAACCATTAATTTGGGTTTATTTTCTTTTATTTGGAAGGTTTGTGGGGATTTATTGCTTTCAAGTTGACATTCATCATGGACTAACATCAGTTGGAAGAACATTGGAAACCTGGGAGGGCTGGACAACTGTTTCGCTCTAGTATGAAACTCCTCAACGGTGAACACTCATGACCCCACCTGGTCAGAGATCGAAACCACGACCTTTAGGTTCCGTGGCCAGCACGTTAGCAGTGGGTCAGAGTCCAATCGTCCATATTTCCTACTTCTATCAGTTCACGCTAGCACACATCTATGAAGGTTCACAACCTCAATGACTGACTTTCCTGTCTTACTCTTACTCTTCGCCTAACGTCGACCTTACTCACATGGTGATTCCACCATACCTGAGCAATTCTACGAAGACACCTTTAACCGCTTCATCTCCTCGACTTTCAACAGCCATGTCTCACAGCCATACAACAGGACAGAACGGACTCCAGCACAATACACCTGTCCTTTGATAGATAGTCAAATATCTCGCCAGTCACCAGCAAAGATAACGCAAGTCGGCAAATGTCAAACAGGTCTTCTGTATCCGAGTTCAGATTTCATCCGAAACCAGTCCGTTCGGCTGATGCAACCCCTAAAGTACGTGAAGTGGTCGACGCATTCAATCACTTCACTCCCTATGTTTAAACTAGAAGTAGGTGCCCACCAGCCCTGCGGCACCATCTTACATTCGACAGGTGTGAAACGCATGCTAACCTAACATACTTAGATTTCTGTTCAACCCTGCATTCTGTCAGGGTCTTCACAAATCAGGACAATATCGTCTGTGTACTCAAATCAACACATCAAATATCCTACTCTAAGAACCTATTTACCATAGAAAACTTACGCTATGAATAGATAGCAACAATTTATTGATAAAATGTCACTGAGACTTATCACTTGACACCACCGTGTTTGGTTTAACTACTGTTTAGAATCCGTATAACTAACGAGTACTCTATATCTACAGTACGAACACGGATATTATGAAGGTAGGCAAGGATCTCTAATAAACGAAGAAAACAAGCTGGAGTGAAGTGGCACAAGAAATACGCTCATGTGACTTATTTCAAAAAGTGCAAATATTGTGTGAGTATTTCTTGAGACGTGCGAAACGTCAACCAGTTAACCGATGGTCTGTTATTGCTAAAATAAATTAGAAACTACTGTTATTGTTATAAGTAATATATCGAAAATGCAAACTTTTACTTGTAGTATTCAGCAGCTTTTCTCTGTGCTTTAACCGCGTCAACAGGATATTCACCAGGATCAGGTAACCATTGTTTCCCTTTAGCTTGATACACATTACCCAGGTTGTATAAGGCTCCAGCCTCAGTTGTCTAAAACAAGATATGAATTTGAAGTAATTCCAAAGATGCAGAGATAATAACCGCACTTTACGTACATGCAAAGAAACGATTTTCAGGTACGAGCGATAAAAAACTAAAGGAGTAACAAACACAGTGGATTACAGAGTCCTAGTCTTTAGTAGTCCATCAACAGGATACCATGATTATAGGGTTCGTACTTACTCGTCCTCATCAGTAAGGTATCTTCACCAACCACGAAGCTGATTCTCATTCAAAGACTCCAGCGTACATTACTTAGTCCTTCAGTCAGACTTTACCAGTAAGCTATACTAAACACAAGAGGCAGTCTGTAGGACTAGACCAAGCAGAAAAAGTGGTCCCTAGTAAGTAACCTATCCGGGGTCCTTAGTACTCGGCGCTGATTGACGTCAACTTACAAGCCTTCCTTGACTGATCTCGACATTGTTCACACGACGACTCTGCTACACAACAGCTATGATACGAAGACACTCGTGGTTAACAACCTATAACTTTTTCTTATCTTCTGCTTTCAACGACTATACCTCACAACAGAAGAGTAACACAGAATGGATAGCAAGACATTCGACTCGCCCTTCCATAAGTAGTCCGATACATGTACTGCGCCAGAGATGACACAATTTAGCAAATGCTGAATCAGCCTTTTTTATCCCAGTTGGGATGTTATCAATATTCAACTCATTCGGATTAAAACAGTCTCCTAAGTAAGTCAAATGGTCAGTACATTTAATCACTTCACTTCGAATCCTTAAGCATCATTTTACCTTCAGAAGATGCAAAATACATGCCAAACATATTGGGATTTTTGCAGAAACTGTTCAGAAGACTAACAGAGGAATCCAAGGAGTGCGTTTCGTCCCATTTAAGACTCATCGGCTGGATGTACCTGCACCTCAGTGAGTTGTGTTCATAAGAACAGCTGATACCCGTCGCATAAAGGGTGGTTATCGTGCCCCAGCAGCTTAGTGATCTCTGGCACATCACTGGTATCCGACTACTTATCAAAAGATGATTCTAACGATCTGCTTTCCATTTTGTTCTATTATAAGACTTTGGGACATGACTATTGTAAGTACAAGGTTGTTAACCACGAATGTCTTCCAATCATTCCCCACACTGTGCAGGATCACTGTGTTAACAATGTCGAGATTAGGCGAGGAAAGCATGTCAGTCAACGATTTGATTGGTTAACTTGTAAAGTAAGAATGAAACTGTTTGAACAGTGATTAACAATTATTTTCAACCAATAAGTTATTTTATTCCAACTTCTTTAGTATACATCATTTCTTTCACTACCTTTTCATTCTGATTTGATTATCTAAGATACCGCAGTTTGGCAGACTAGTATTTGTACTGGGTGATGATTGAAGGTGAGATGAAAATCTGGACCGTGGCCGAATCCGAACCAGCGATCACCGGCCGGTAGGCCTGGTGCTCTACCGACTGAACTACGAGATCCGACTGCTGACCATATTCTCATTTCACTTCAACCACCCGACTACCATGTGAATTCGTGATGCGTTACTACCGCTTGATCGTATGTATTCACACTGGCCGCCTAGTCAAGATTTCTCATCCTAATCCAACTGAATCACAGAGGGGAAGCATCATATTGATAAGTGAAATAAAAGTTCTGGTCAGCAGTCGGACCTCGTAGCTCATTTGGTAGAGTACCAGACCGGTAACCCGGAAGGCAGCTGGTTCAAATCCGGCCACGGTACAAATTTTCATCTCACCTTCAATCATCACCCAGTACAAATAACTTTTCATTCATTGACTGTTTTCCTGAAAATTACAACGTAAGATCTTTGGCTAGACGATTTGAAGAAGATGCCCGAGTCAGTAAGTACAAGTTGGTTCGATAATGACTCAGTCAGAAGTCGAATTCAGATGGCTAGCCTAAGCAACACGCTGTTATTTGTATTTGTAATGTGGCAAGTGTAAATCGAAGGCGGCCTAATCAGAATGTGAAAGTATGAGAACAAAGACAGACATATAAAGGTCATTCGAAATTGATCGGCTGTTACAGATTACATTTATCCTCAATTTCTATACCTTGTACACAGTTTTAAAAAAGAAGAGGCAGCAAAATGACATTCATTCATTAGTATTCTGTAAAATTTATTGTTCTTGACATAACAAGGATTTTCAAGAATCACAATATTTCTGAAACACAATAAATTTCCCCCATCATATAACATTTTCGCTTGAAATTAATGGAAAAAGCTCTTTACAACCAACTAACTATAAATGAAGGCAATAATACAACCAACCACTAAAATCAAACAATGTCAGTCAATCAGCACCACTAGGGGACCTGTCATCACTGCATAACGGATCCAGGTTGTCACCCCTCACATCAAGATAGGTGTCAAGATGAAATACAGGGATATGAAGAAAAAGTAATGATAAATGGTGGAGAGTTGCAGAAAAAAAACAGCAAGAAGCAGTACAACGAATATAATGGAATACGGTATGACGATCAACATGGAGATAATGTATAGATGTATCTTCCTCACTGAAATCCTTTCTGAATCAATGTCAATCAATCAATCAACATCAACATAGGATCAGGCATTACTGCGTAACGATCCGAGCTGCCACACCTCACGTCAGTTCACCAAGCAGAAAGGTAGTGAAGTGAAGGATGGAGATTAGAGAATGTAGTCAAAAGAAATATAAACTACGAGAAGAAAGAAAAGAGGAGTGACAAAATGGTGAGATTCGGTATAGTGTAGTTAAGGTGAGGATAATGTGTGTAGACATCTGCGCCAATTACATCGGTCCTCAGCCATATCACCTAGAGCTAGTCTCCAACCATTGGTTCCTCTTGTCCCACGGACCCCAACCACCTAGTCTGCACCGTCCTACATGGCTTAAACCAACAGTCAGAGGAGACTTCATACATTGGTGCCATGTTTTAGTCTGGCCACCTCAGACCTTCTTCCAGTCTGGACCCACCTCAGTCAACATTGTGTGACGAGGCAATCGATGACTAGGCATACGTAGTACGTGTGCCAACCACCCATCTCACTCAATGAAGGTTCACAACCTCATCAACTCATTCACATCTTCTCCCTAAAACTCTACACCTACACCTACACCTACCCCACTTCTGCATCACTCACTCACATGGTGACACCACGGAATACGTCCTAAACTACGAAGGCAATGATGATCAAACACCTCAAGCCAGCCTTCTCATGTCTTCCACTTTCAATGGCCATGTTTCACAGCCATACAGTAGAACAGACCGGACTGCTGTACAGTATACGCGACCCTTAATAGACAAATGGATATCACGGCGGCGCCATAGGTGGCGTAAATTGGCAAAAGCTAATCGAGCCTTTTGTATCGGTATCTAAATCAATGTAACACTCTAAAGTAGAAAAGAGATGAAACTGAATTCGGCTCTACTTCACTACTCATGCGCAACAAGGAGAACGTTATTTAGGAATAAAATGAAATGAATTATTATTGGGATTTCAGAGATCTGTATTTCAGGTATTATCGAAAGGTTATAACAACAATCAAATGAAAAAGATTAGTCTAGATAACTAATCACAAAACCTGTCAAATAGATGATGATGTTGATGTTAGAAGACCTCAGTTTTCTATAAATCCGAAAATTTTTTAATCGGCGTTTTCGCACCACTTTTGCAGTGTAACCAGTAGTCCACTTCCCACCCCCACAAAAAAACTAAAGGTAATTCGCTAATTGGCTAATGTGTACGTTTACTACCTTAATGATTCGAATTCTGGACAAGGTCACATATCATGTATGTATTCTCTCTCTCTCTCACACACACACAAACACACACAAGTTTCAGGATTAACTGACTATTCTTTTCGGAGGTAATAAACTCTTCTACATCCAGTTTATTCTCTACTTCGTTCGGAGTCTGGCGTACGAAGTTAACTGTCGGTCAAGCGTGCGTGTTGTATGCTTTGGGAACATAACACTTTATACATCTGATAGTTAGTGATGCTGATATCAGTCATGTACAGCTGATGAAAAACAGATATTTTTGAGACGTAAAGGTTAGATTTTAAAGGGGGAAAAACAAGTAAAATAGACTTTTTCATTGTTCATTTTAGAATAATTAAAGCTGTTGAAAGAACAATTACCTCAGAACTTATATAGCGTATGTACAACACGTTCGTGCAGCAAGTAAATAGCCGTGGCCGTTGTATGAGAACTAATGATGCTACTACTCCAACCCATGACCAACTGGTTGAAATAAACAATAGTGAGGAATCAAACTGACCACCTGTGCTCAAAATCTTATTAATGATGACCTGTAGTGTTCACTTGTTATCTTCGCCCAGTTTACTAGTTCACTAGACGGTCCTAAGCCCGGAGGATAAAAAGGGAAGGTTGGTTGTGGGGCTAGCGACCCTACCCCGGAAAATTAATCCAGCCGCTAAAGAAACTTCAAAGAACACACGAAATATAAAAAATAAACTTATTCCTCGATGGGATCGAGGAGACGAAATGATGGCGGTTGGTAAAAGCTTTCGGGAAACCAATGGGTCAATGTGTATTCTCTTCTCTTGATGAAAGCAAAAGTAAGCATGGTGACATGGAATGTTAGCACAATGTTTGAAGCTGACTGGCAAGGGTGCCCAGATTGCAAAAGAGATGAAAAGATATAGCATAGAAGTGCTAGGAATCTGCGCGAGCAGACAGAATGAAAGTGGACTCCCCAAACAATTAACTTGAGAGTCAATAATCTACTCCGATATTATCACCCAGACGACAACCACAAGCACAAGTTGGCAGAAAAAGATGGGACCTCCTTCAGATGGACGTAGAGAAGACAGAGGTGATGAAGATACCTAACCACTAACAACAAGCATCAATCACCATCAACGGGAGAAGTCTAAACCAAGTTGTCGCTTTCACCTACCTAGGTAACGTCATTTTAATTACAGGCAGCGGCACAGATCAGGATGTCAAAACCAGGATCAGAAAGACAGCGAGACAGGCC